ATTCCCCACCCTACAGCCTGCTCCACAGCATACCCTCCGACTCCCGCTGCTCTAGAGCCCTAGGCGACCTCCTTTTTGACCTGCCTTCCTGTTACCCCTTGCCCTGGCACACGCCCATCTTGAGTTATTGGGCTCCGTCCAAAGTTCCCTATCTTCCTGACGATTCTTCCACCTCTGACCCCAGTGAGGACCCTCCACTTACCTGCTGGCTTTTGAGATTACCTCACTCCTCCCCAATTACCCTGTTCATGACCCCAGTGGCCTCTCTTTACTTTGTTTCTGCCTTATTACCTCAGCTCTTCTATACACACACACACACACACACACACACACACACAGCCGTCTCTAGCTCCTCACCCGGCCCAGAACTCTAAATCCTGCTTTCCAACGGACTGGGGCTTCTGCTGCAGGCTTTGGCCCAAGGGAACTGTCATAGTACCCCTTCCCCGAATCCCCAGCCCAGCTGCGGCCCTTGATTACCCCCAAATCCCCTCCAGCAGCTCTGGGCCCCAGCCCAGACTGTGCGTGCCTAAGTGGCCAAGCCAGAGATTAGCTGGGGGGCTAAAGGAGGGTAAGGAGGTGGGAAGCGGTGGCTGGACCAGGGCTGTATCTAGCTAGCTCTGAGAGACTCACTCCGGGTCTAATCCTTCCACGAAGCGAGGCGGGACAGAGCTGAAAGATCCCACAGGGACCCCCCACCTCTGCCCTCCCCCAGCTAATTAGTAATTAGTGATTAGTGATTAGTGACTATTGATCACCTGCTGCTTCTCCCAGTAGGCAGCTGCTTTGGCAAGACTAGGGGAGACAGAGGAGATAGGCAAGGAAATGAGTAGACTGTATTAGAAAGATCCTGAAGCAGCCAGGGCAAAGAGGATAGAACCCCAGAGGCAGGGGAAACCAGGAGTTCCAGGTCCCCAGAGGAGACCAGAAGCCTAGAGCAAGGAGGAAGGAGGCAGAGAATTTCTACAGGAAGGGCAAGTGAAGAACGCAGGGCTGGTAACATTGATGGTTAGGGTTTCTCAAGAGTTACCCTATGAACTCTGCTCATGGAGACATCCCTGAATGCACAAACACACATAGGCCACTCAGATTATAAATACTGAGGCTCACAACCCCATGCTCACATTCAGCTACACTCAAAATCACAAGTGCACTCAGGTGCATATTCACAAATTCCAGACTCCCATACAGACAACACATGCACCTTACCACACACATATCAGAGCCCCTAGGGCCCAGATGTGTGCACACACCCTACTCACAAGAGGACACAGCAGCATGCGTAGGTATCTGAACACAAGGACACTTCTCTACACACACTTCCCCATGCCTAGTTATATGTATTCACACACCCACAGTGTGTATACACACTCATCACAAATAAACACATTCTCACATGCACACATGCTGGACGCAATGGCAGATATGATCTCCCCCACTGACTCCGACACGGAGGCCCCACATCTGCAGCTCTCACACACACTCGGGTAGATCCCATCTCTCGATCTCCCTCAAGTCTCCACCAGATGTTTCATTCCCCTTCAGGGGGCAAAGGAAATTAAACCAGATCTGTCCACAGGGGAGTTTATTTGATGGGAGAGAGGAGAGGAGAGGAGAGGAGAGGGGAGGGGAGGGGAGGGGAGGGGAGGGAAAGGAGAGGCAGGGTAATGCCACCCGTACCTCCTCTTGACCTCAGGCCTTCATATATGGCAGTGCTAGGCCAGGCCTCTCCTGAGTGTCCTAAGGGTAGAGCTGTGCAGTACGTCCAAAAGCAGCTCTTGCCAATGGAAGCAGCTTTCAGGGAGGGGGCTCCTCTGCCCACCTTTCAGCCCCTCAAGGTCACCAGGCAGGTCTGGAAGAATCAGCAGCTCTATCGCTAGCTTCACTGGGGCAGCTCCTGCCCTGCCGGAGTTACTGAGGGCAACTGGGGTAGGCAGGCAGCATCTAAGTGTTGGGGGTGGAACTACATCCCCTCTGGACTTTGTAGAGGTTGGGGATTAGGAGTGGGGCATGAGGGTTAAGGGGCTATTGGCTTGCCCTTTGACGACTAGGCCACAGTTGGGGTGCAGGAAACAGCCAGGGCAAGAGAGGCGTCCGACAGAGGGGATGGGGTCAAGGCCTCGGCCTCCATTGTGGAACGTGTACTAGGGTACAAACAGATGGCTGAGCCGAGAAGCAGGCACTTGCACTCACCCATGTAAAGCCAGTATCGCCACCAAGGCTGACCGGCCCTAAACATGGGCTTGGGCTTCCCTAACAGGCATGCGCACAGGTGCACACTGACCCACACACCCCACGGCAGCACATATGAGCACACTGTGTACACTAGCCCAAGCTTTCACGTAGAAAGGATGACAGGATCAAGTCCGGGCCCCCTTAGCCTCTGGGTCCTCACCCCGGAACCTCAGGGAAAGGGGCAGCAGGGAGGGGTGGGGGCAGGGAGGAGAGCCCCCCCATCCAGGTGGCACCCCCTCATCAGCCTGAACGAGAGGGGGTGTGTCTGTGAGGTTTGTGTAGGGGAGATGGTGTCTCCGCGGGAAATGTGATGGGAGATTGTAGCCAAGTTCAATAGTGTCCGTGTTCGTCTGTGTGTGCGTGCGTGTGTCGGGGCCATGTAAGCTCCGAACACAGAGCCCACCGGCATTGTGACAAGTGCCGAGAAGAGAAATGGGAAGGCGAGGGTGGAGGACAGACACCGAGGAAGGCGAGCGAGGTTGGCGCGGAAATAAGGCGAGGCTGACACCCTGCTGGCTTGTCTGTCTGTCTCGCACTCCCGCTCTGTCTGGCGCACTCGCGGGTCGCGCTTCGTCCCCTCCCCCGCAGCTCCTGAAGCCCGATCTGAGTCGGGCCTCCACCAGGCACCCCCTCCAGCCCTCAGGCAACTTGCGCTGGGAGAGTGCGGGTCCTGAAGCTGGCGGTCTGTCTGTCCGCGTCCTCCACGCCGCGCAAAGTTGGGACGCTCGGAGCTGGGGGCGGGGCAGGCGCACGGAACCCCTCGCGCTCCGG